ACGAAAATATAATATCACATGAGATTTCATTCATGGATGTGTAAGCAAGAACAAATGAATTAATGTAAAAGCTATCTATAATAAAATATATCAATGAGACAAATCCACTGACATGATAAAATGACCCCATGCTATCTAACAGATTGAATCAAAAGGGGGTCATATGACTCATCTTACAATTTCAAAATTTAAAAGTAAATATATTTCAAATGAAAAAAAATATAAATATATGGAAAGGTTTGCTTCCACTTAACATGTTTTCTAAAAAAAAATACTTACTCATTAATGCTTAAGAATTGTGATTTTAAATAAATATTCTAACAATATAAGGTGCAATTTGAATGTTATTTTCAATTCATTCTAATCTGATATGGACTGTTAGATAGCATTCATTAAAAAAAACAAAAAATTAACTAGCTCTCCTTCCAATATCAGCCCGCAAGGGTTAGAATAAAAATTGGTGCACCACAAACAATTATTATCAGATTATATATATAATACTTATTCCACTGAAAGTTCATATACAATTCATTCATAACCATAATGTTTTCCCCATCTAGCTAGTATAGAATAACAGAAAGATAAACAAATATTCTTTAAACTTACATAAATAAAATAAAGCAAGAGGAAAGCAACAAAAAAATTCACTGTTGAACAACAGAGACCTTATAGGCATCTTCAAATGGGATTGAGATGGGCAATCATCAAGAAATTATTTAATCCATCTTTGTATAGTAATTTCACGAAGTTTGAACATCATCGTAAGCCACGAATCCCCGTCTTTGGCAAACAACACACATAAAGCAAACAAGGTGGTGAGAAAACGACCACACAATTCATTTTTTATTTGTGAGACAGAACTAATAAACATGAAAGCAGCATCTAGGTTTTTCAAGACAATTCATTCGGCTCAAACATTTTGCTATGCTTCTTCAACTCCAAAAAAAATAAAACATAACTCATACTCATGATACTTTCCCGAGCATGGAAGAGAGCTAAGTTCACAAACATTGCAGGAATAGAGCAAAAAAGAGAACAAGAAACTCAGACGACAATGGAAATCAAAGCAAACTCATAAGTGGTCTCAATATAACAAGCGAAGAGCTGGCATATGTTTTTAATATATTTTGGAGAAAAATATACCAAGATCGGCTATTCTAGGCTTTACGCCCCAATGTAACACTTCAAAAATGATTTAGAAGACTATACTAAAATATAGAGATACCAGATCTCTATTTCAGTATCTATATTTTAGTGGTCTGTCAAATTTAATTTAAAAGAAAAAAATTGATTATATCTGAGCATGAGCACAGGCACCCTCAATTCCATCTGATCACATCACTTGAGTAGTGGAAAATTTCCCTCAATGCCATGAATTGTAGAAATTTTCATATGGCTAATGACTGACAAGTGTAACATATTTTTGGCAATATGGCAACCAACTCAGAAAAATCCATTGCTACAAGTGTGAATAGTGAGATAACACTTGTTAGTTGTTAACCAACTTCCATGTCAAGGATACTTCCAAATGACCCAAAAAAAGTCTCATTACAATTAAAAAAAAAAAGTCAACAAGGCCAAAATTTCACTTGAACTGCAAGTGTCACATAAGCTGTAATTAAAGTCCTTGATCGTTCACCTACTAAGGAGATGCAACTTCCTGCCAAAATTTCACTCTTCACTAAGGAGATGCAAATCATAAACATCAAAATCAATAAAGTATAGTAAGAAATATTATTCTGATTTTAAGAATGTAGTAAGAAATAATATTTTTTTATGGGTTCTAGGACTAAAATGACCATTTTAAATGGCTCCGTGTAAATAGTCAGAGGACTACTTTGTCATTACTCAGAAAAAAAAATGTTTGTTCATACTTACATGATAAATGGAACATTTATGCTTGAAGAGAAATACCAACAATGCTAAAAAAAAATCAGATCTAGAGGCAATCATCAAATCACAGCACAAATGTTGAAACCTGTTTGAAAGTAATGTTTAAACCTATATGAATCACAACACAAGTGCATAATAGCCCAAGCAGAGCTCAGTGCTCCCAACAAAATCAGATCTAGAGGCAATATGACATTTTTTTTATGCGAGATTTCACTCCCAAAAACTTCAACACCTAGGTTTCACTCAAAAAAATTAAATCAATCTAAAAAAAAATTTATGAAAATTTAAGCTAAGAGGCGAACCTAAAGATAAATATGAAATATTGAAGAAAATATACTCAAAGATGACGCCTCGATAACCTTACAAGAAACCAAGAAAGAATATCAAGCAACCAAGAAATGAAGTAAGAATATCGCGAGTAGTCGATCCAACAACCAACCCTAAGCTCTCGAACCAAGCAAGTATATACGGTAACCTTACAAGCAACCAAGCAAGAATATCGAGCAACCAAACAACCCGAAGACAAATAGAAGTAGAGATTAGAGAACGAACACAAATAACCAACCCTAAGCTCTCAGCAAAAGAAAGCTTTTCGCTATTTTGAGATAAGAAGAAGGAGAGGCGACCGAAATCAAAAGCTTTCGGGAGAGGAAAGGGAGGTCGAACATGGGGTTAGGGGCTTAGGGTTTTTTACATTTTAGTTTGTATATATTAATATATATAAAAAATATATATAGTATATTATATATTTATAATAATTATTATGACTTAATTTTTTAAAATATGATATATTTTTAGAGTATATAATTATTTTTAAAAAATCATAAACTTTCTATATATAATTATTTTAAATTATTTTATATTTTGAACAATAACGATTCAAACACGAACTAACGCATCACTGTTCGTGTTTGGTTCATCTAACAAACCAAACAAAAAAAATTGTTCGTGTTCGTCTCGTTTACGTTCCGTCTTACATTCATCGAACGAATCGAACACGAATCCCCGGCGAACCGAACACGAACTGTTTGTGAACAACGAGCTTTTTTGACAGCCCTAAGCGTAATAGCAAAGCTTCTCAACAAAGATGATCAAATGAGAAAGTTGTCCAACGAAAATAGGCCAACCATTATCTAATACATCTTGATTGGACCCAGATTACAACAACTCAAAAGGATATCTCACACATCATAGGAAAAAGCACTACCTTGATGCGTGCAACAAGAAGGCAACAAATGAGTTCATCTTTATTATCACAGCTTTACCTTAACTATAGGGGGTTGGCATTTGAAAAAACTTTTCCAATCATTCTTCTGCAATAGGAGAACTTAATTCTAATTCACACCAATGTTCCACTAGCAATCTTACCTGTAAAGTACAAATTTACCATTCTAATCATTTAATATCTTAATAATATCTACCCACCTTACCGATATTTTATATGCTTTACTTTTGTCTTTCAAATATAACCATTTCTTACCCCATCGTCATTAGCTTTATACCATATCGCATTATAATTTTTGTTAGTTTCTTGGTCACTCACTAGTTGCACACTCATTGGATATATAAAACATATTCAACTATTTTCAATTTTATTAAACTAAATTCTTCATCATATCTCCTTACTACATAGTTTGCCCTCCCAATCAAACAAAATATAAATAAATAATTAATTAATTATAGAATCTCTTAAAATCTAGAAGTTATACCCTAAACCATATTTACATTTTGGAAAAAATTAATTTAATGGCTTTAAACTTGCCAAATCTTATTAACACTTGATATGGTGGCAGCATTGATAGTTACGAAATAATTTGATATTCACTAGTCATTGTTTCTTGTACTAATTCCAAAGCTTCTACCTTACATAAATTCCTCCAGTGCGTTGTTTTTTTTTTACTTCAAGAGAAGTCTTATCAATTAGAACTATGCCATGAAGACCTCTGACTTAACATCGATTTTTTATGATACAATCCTATTGTAATTTTAAACTCGTTAATTTTCTAACTAACTGGCACTAATTGTTTGTCCTTTCTAACTTATACATCTCTATAACAACTTTGACATATTTTTCTCTTTTCAATAGTTATCTTAGCACAAAATCAGCTTCATTATAACTCTTCCCGACATAATATTAATCAATTCACTATTATCGCCATGATATTTTTCATGTCTTTCTTTAAATACCCTCTACTACTTCATTAAATTGATTATAAATTTGAATTTTCTTTTAATGCCACGACCATAAAAATCTCCTTTATTCTCAAAGATTGGCACCAATGTGTTCTCCCCGATAATTTGACAATCTTTAAATTTTGGATTTTTAAAAAATATCGGTCAACCATATTAATCCGATAATTCTAATAACTCGTCAAATTTAAAAGATATCTTATAAAGACTCAAAACTTTACCTTTATGCATCTTCCTAAAAGCTAAATCAAATTCACGATTGTATAATTTCTATTACATCATTAATTTATTCATTTTTTATTTTAAGAAATTTCATGTTGAAAATTCTTGATAAATTATTCCTGTACAAACGTTTCATTATTTTCACATTTTATCTTTTTAATATCCCCGTATCATTAACAAATTTATTTTGCTTAAAAATAACCTAAATCTCATTTCTTTTACTTTGGTGATATTATATATTTCATTTTCTCCTATTATTTAGCATACAATTCAAATTATAAAGTGTTGTAGATTTGTCTTTGCCTACTACATCTTGGCATATCTTTTAGCTTATTTACTATTATTATGTCTAAACAATCATTAATTTATCATTCTTGAAACGTATATAATTTTCTTTAAAACCTTTTGCACCTCCTCGCTCCACTATTTGATCTCCATATGAAGATCTATTTCTCGGATCTACTCAACCAAAGGTAACCTACTTAATACAAATATTTGTTTTATGTCATGGCCAACATTGATTTTCCAAAAAGGCCTTTAAGATTCAAATTGAAAGCACTTCTAAAAATAGCCATAGAAGGAATATACAAATGACAAAAAAACTTAAATATGGATGTGGACAACTAACCGCCCAAGATAAAATGATAAGCATAGAAATATGCAGTACGTTTAAAGCATAATCTATAAAGACATACCAGCAGGGTTATTAGATGATGACAAAGAACTGTTTTTCAAAAAAACACTGGAACCCCCCGTTGTATCATGCAAACTATTGTTGTAATAAGCATCTTTAAATGACTCTTGTGTTGAACTGCTCGATTTCTCCGCGTGACTAGCAGCCAAAGAAAAATCATTTGCTAAATTCTCCTGACGGGCAAATGAAAATCTAGATTGATTATTATTTTGCAATTTCCATGACAGAGCAGAAGAGCCAACTTTCTTACCCATGCCACTAAGAAATTTGGCCAAATTGTCAGAAGAATGTACAGAATCATCCCACGGATCAAAATCTAGTGACAACATATTGGATATAATGCTTCTCTCACCAGAATCAATGACTTCAGTCTTTATTGTCGTTAAATCATCAGACTTCACTACATAAATTGGTTTATTTCCAGTTTGTCTCATGTCAGGTGCCTCAAAAACCTCCCTATGCATGGCATAATCATCTTGCTGGTCCTGCTTGGGCACAGCTGGAAGCACCACAGTATGATCCCTTAACCTAGAGAACCCTTCATCCGTGGGAAAATAATTTGCATCATTTAGATATTGCAAATCAAAAGGATCTTCTTCACAAGAATTGCTTGTTGGAATGAATGGCATTTTAGGAGGATTTAGACTGCAGTATGAAAATGTTTTTTGAATGGAAACATTCGATGCTTCTTCTCTCTGATCATGAGTGGCCAAACTATAACTATCAGTTTTTATCACAGAAAATGGAGCATCACTTTGTTGATTGGAGGCCCAGCCAGGTAAGTCTATCAAAAAGCATTCTGAGTCTGTCGCAACAGATGCAAGAGAAGAGGGCGTTGAACTTTGCCTTTCAGCTTCCCTGTTCGCATAAGTTTGACAAAATTTAGCATCAGAACTTTCGTCATTAAATTTAGAACAATTATTAGATGACACGACTTGATACTCCTCTTTGCTCTGATACTCATCTTTGACATTAAACGAGTCCACACTAATGATTTCTCGTGCGAGAGATCGATCTTTGTCTCCAGTTGATCTGTCTGAAAGTTGGGAAGGAGAGCATGAAATATCAGAGGTACAAGAAGTATCACACACCCTAGTATCTTCTGATAGAGAGGTCTGGGAATCCCCATTACTACAACATTTCAATGCTTCTAACGAAGTAGTTTTTCCATCGATTTGATAAAAACATGGATCTGTGATTTGGTTTGATGCTGCGTCAACATCATCATCCCAAGCATAATTACATCCTACATCAAACATAATCTCCGTTGATTTGCATGAACTAGATGTCATTTCCATAGGACTTGATTGAGAATCCATAAGCATTATATTTCTTCCTTCAGGCGGCTTCATTTGGGCATCATCTTCCCAAGCAGAAATCATTAAAGAACTTTCTGCAACCACAGTACTCTCTGAGGAGTCATCTGATACAACTGGTTGGTCATGCATAGAAGAAACAAGGTTCAAAACTTCTGAGGCCCTTGACCCACTCTCCACAGTCCTGTTGTCAGGTTCCTTTGATAATACAGGAACATGATCATCCCATGCGGAAATACATTTAATGCTTGAAACGGATGAAAGAAATGAAGTTGAAGAATTTAAAAAATCTGGCTTCTGCTTGACAGGGTTTTGCAGGCATGGTGTAGTCGCTGGTGTTGAACATTTATTTGGCACTCGAGAACCCCTGTGAAACAGACACAAACATAAATAGGAAATCCTTCCAAAAAAGATTATGAGAAGCAGCATACCATGAAGCAGAAGCGGGAAGCACTAATGACCTTTCACTAGAAATATTAGCTGATTTTGCATGTTTGGTAGTATTCTGGATACAGAGGAAGCAAAGCCTATATCAGTGCCTTCACATATAATAGCAAGAGCATAATGTGTAAAGTGATAGATTCACATGCCATTATTTCTTACACTTGAGGACTTTCTCAAACAACTTTTGCTGGAAGGTGTTCCGTTGGTGCCTATATCAACTTCTGCTGCAGGCAAAACGTTTCGTGCGCGCTGTTGCAAATTGTTCATAGCAACTTGCGGGGCCCTATTCCTAGTAGATCAATCCAAAGTGCATTAAACCAAGAGAGAAATACCCTAAACGATGAAAAAACAAAAGAATTAAAAAAAATGCTTCGATAATTTAATTTAGAACTTTTTCACTCATATATATATCATCATAAATTCAAAAAGATGAGAAAAAATATAATCAATTTATGGTTTTTGAGAAGAGAAAAATAATTATTCCTTTGCAATTTTCTTAGACTCAATTACAGGCCAAATAGCACGGAAAGGTCACCCCATTAGAAAAATCATAAAATCCTCACGCCAGAAAAAAGAAATAGAAATTTCCAACGATATTTAATCCTACAAGTAGAAACTAATGAAAATTTTAAAATAATAAAAATAGAAGATACCCAAAAGGGAAAAATCACTAAAATTCTGACAACCCCCTCAAGTTTGAGCATAGATATCTATCATGACCAACTTTCTTACAAGGAACTCAAAACTAGACCCGAATCGTTTGGTGAAGATATATGCTATTTGTTGTGATGTCGGGATGAAAGGTGCATAAATAGCTCCACAATCAATCTTCTCATTTATGAAATGTCTATCACTCTCCACATGTTTTGTGTAATCATATTGCACTGGATTTTTTACAATGCATATAGCAGCTTTATTGCAAAAGTACAATTTCAATGACATGTTTATTGGAATTCGTGGCTCTCTAAGAATTCTCTTCAGCTTTATAACATCTCACATACTTCATTAATCATAGCTCGATATTCTATCTTGACACTACTACTTGTCACCACAATATATTTCTTACTTCGCCATATAACTAGATTCCTCACACATAAGTATAATATTCGGACGTCAATCTCCAATCAACTTTTGAACCCGCCCAATTTGCATCGGTGTATGCCTCCATGTATTGTTGTATGGTATTCAGAAAGAGTAAACTCTTTTCTTATATATTTTTTAGGTATCTGAGAATCTTGTTAACTGCTTCAAAGTGTTTCTCAGAAGATAAATGCATAAATTGGCTTACCAAACTTACAACAAAGACGATACCTATTCATGTATGTGATAAGCATATCAACTTTCCAACCAACATTTAATATCGAGTTGTACTCACTAAGTCACTCTCCTCCTCTTCTAGTTTCTGATTGAGATCAATTAGAGTGTCTACAAGCCTACAACCACTCATCAATGTTTCCTTTAGAAGATCAAGAATATAGTTTTGTTGGGAAACAAGAATCCCTTTCTTCAATCTAACAACCTCAATGCCAAAAATATACCTAAAAGATCCTAAGTTGTTGGTCTAAAAAATTGATGATAGAGAAGTCTTCAACCGGTTTAGTTCATATATGTCATCTCTGATGAGAATTATATCATGCAAGCACACAATTAATAAGGTTATCGTCCAATCCATTGAATGTTTGAAAAACATTGTACGATCTCTTTGTCCTTAAGTATACCCCCGACCTTTAACAAATAGTATAAATTTCTCAAACCACAATCTCGGTGATTGTTTCAACCCGTACATGGAATTTTTTTTAGTTTAAACATCTTAATGTCGAACTTCCCACTAAATTTTGAAGGTGCATCCATGTACACTTCTCTTTCTAGGTCCCATTAAGAATGTATTTTTTATATCCAACTATTGAAGGTCAGTCAAGATTAGCTGCAAGTGATAGAAAGACTCTTATAAAGTTTATTTTTGCTAGTAGAACAAATCTCTCTAAGTAATCAAAGCCATGAGTCAGATTAAATCCCTTAGCAACTAGTCGAGTCTTGTACAATTCTAGAGAACCATCAAATTATACTTGACTGTAAACACCCATTTGCATTCAACAGTTTTCTTCCAACTAAATCAACTAATTCCCACATGTCATTTTTCCCCAAAACTTTCACCTCCTCGAAGAGGGCCTTCCTTCCACTTAGAAATTTTCAAAGCATTCTTCACAATATTAGGGATCTTCATACTAGACAAATGTGTGGTAAAAGCCAGAAAAATGGATGATAGATTTTCATATGGCACATAATGAGACAATAATATTGGATGCAAGACATCACCCCCTTACAAGTAACAATCGGATAAAAAAGCAATGATATCAAATTACGTATAAAAAACAAATTAAATATAACAATAGTATCAATTAATTAATTAAAAGTTATTATTTTATATTAAATAAGATAATATTAAAATATATATAATTATATATAAAAACAAATAAAATAAAATTTGAATCTCAATGCACCCCAAAAATAATCCCCTCTATCTCCATCCAACATGTGCCCAATAAATAAGACATTAAAAAGCAAAAACAACAAGAACAAGCATTTATCCCACCAAGTAGAGTCGAAACTTTTTTTTCTCTATTGTGCCCAATGGAGTGTCATATTTTCATTTAATTCTAATAGATTCTCTATTGTGCCCAATGGAGTGCCATATTTTCATTTAATTCTAATAGATTAATATCATTTTCTATAAAACATGCTCAGGTCTTTTTATGTCTACTCCTACCGTTTTTAACACAAGTCGAATCTAAAACATCTATTATCCTAACAGGATCATCAGATGATCACCGTTTAATGTAATCAAACCATCTAAGATGACTATCTCTAATCTTGTCTACCATTGAAGCTACACCAATATATTCATTTCGCATTTTATCTCTAAGTGTAAAGCCACTCATCCACCTAAGCATTCTCATCTCAACAACACTTAACTTAGTTTTATGCTTCTCTTTTATAGGACAACATTTTGCATCATAAAGCATTGCAGGCCTCACGAGCATCTTATAAAATTGTCATTTAAGTCTAAGTGGTACTTCTCTATCACAGAGTATGCTCAATGCATTCCTCCACTTCAACCATCCAACTTGAATTCTACTAATAGCATCCCCATTTATATCACCATCACTTTAAACAATAGATTCAAAAAATCTAAAACGTTCACTACTTTTAATAATTTCATCACCCATTATTACAACTCTTCCACTAGATCTACTTCTACTAAAATTACATTCCGTGTATTCAGTTTTAAATCTACTCAAATGAAGGCCTTTAGACTCTAAAGTGGACCTTCATAATTCAAGTTTTTCCTGAACTATTCCTAGTAAGTACATTTTGTGTACATCCTCGTAAAAATGTCCATTAAGAGCATACATAACTAAAGCAAAAAGATATGGACTTAATATTGATCTTTGATGTATTCCAACTAAAATAGAAAAATACTTCAGCAATCCTCATTCTATTCGAACACAAGTGACAGCTTTAGTATACATATCTTTAATGTCTTAAATGTAAGTCATATCAACACATTTCTTTTCTAGAACTCTCCAAAAAGCTTCTCTTGGAATATTATCATATGCTTTTTCTAAATCAATAAAAATTATATGTATATCCTTCTTACCCTATCTGTACTTTTCTATTAAACTCTCAATAAATATATAACTTCCATAGTAATCTTGTCTAGCATAAACCTCGATTGATTATGAAAAACTTTTGTATGACGTCTTAATCTATTGTCAATTACTCTCTCTCATAATTTTATTGTACGAAATATTAAATTAATTCCTCTATAATTTACATACTCTTGTACATATCCTTTATTCTTAAAAATAAGGACCAAATACTCTTCCTCCACTTCTCAGATATCCTTTTAGTTTTTAAATTATATTATAAAATTTAGTAAGCTAAAAAATTATCAAATCTCCTAAATATTTCCAAACTTCTATGACAAATTAAAAAACATATGGAAAACAATTAAAATATCTTAAAACTCACTCACTCTTATTAATTCTCACATGACAACACTCCTTATCCCATCACCTTCCCCAATTTGTCTCATTACTCTCATCTCTCTTACAGATCAAAACTTCTATGTCCATCTCCTTCACGTGAAGCTACAATGAGCTCCCTTGGACTCCACCAACAATACAACCTAAATTTTTACTTCCCTTCATTTTGATACCAACAATACAACCTAAATTTTTACTTCCCTTCATTTTGAGTAGCTCATGAAGCCTCACCGACATCTCCAAGCCTTGAAACTACTCTCCCCATCTTCATTCCAACCCTCATCGATATCACTTACTACATCTCCTATCATGTCACCACTTAGCTAGCAACTACTAGCTCCAATCTACCTCATGGAAAAACCCTCACTTGTATCTCCTACCATCTTAACTCTCAAACAGTGACCGCTAGCTCCGTCATCAAAGACTACATCTCTCGCCTAAAACTATTGCTCCTATAGTCTTCTCCTTAACATGTGCTCCCTAAGCAATATCCTTACTGTTTGAGCCAGAGCATCTAACATCGCCTCCCCATCTTTCACTGTTGCAACACAAAATCTCACCCTGCTTAACGCACAATTATGTGCACCTAACCTCCTCCATTCTGACATCATCCTAATAACTACTCTCCACTTAGGCAGAAAATTCCAAGCCTCCACAATCTCTCCCTGATGTCTAGTTCGATCTAGACACCCACTTTCTTGCTTCACTCTCCTCTCTCCGCTCCTTTCATTTTCATTATACACACCCAACAAACATCCGCTCAAAACCTCACTAAGTCGTTGAAAATAGCCTCACCTTCACTCCACCTCCATATTTCTCCCACAGCTTTCCTCACCCACACATCCCCAACAACCCAACTCTTCTCTCTCTCCCTCTCTACCTTAGCATCACTCACATTTTCTCTCAAAATAGAGAATCTTTCTCAAGCTCTCACTATTTAAGCCAAGATCACTAACTCACTCGCTATCTCTTTTATCTCCTTATTTTCTCCCTCTAAGAAAACGAGAAAAATCTATGTTGGCATCAATTTTTTATCTCACATACAATGGGTATCTATTTAAACAACACAGGACTGTGCCCAGCTTCCCGCCGTCCAAGACATCCAAACAAACCTCCTGGTATGTGTCCCGAGCACGAAATCAGGACCAGTACCAACTTGACCCTATCCGGAAAAATTCACTGTAAGATGGTGTTAGCCTTGACTCCAAACGTATTTTACGTCGGTTCTCATGTTCGAAGACAC